TCAGGGTATAGTTTCAAGCAATATTTTGTGGTTTGCTGTGTATAGATGGTCTGTCGCTGGTGTGAGTCTGATTCCTAGGTAAGGAATGCTGTTTGTTTCCCATGAAAATGGGAATTGTTTGGCTGGTTGAGTTTGGAGTTGGGTCCACAGACATTTTTGAGAAAAAAACAATATTTTGGACTTTTTGTTATAAAACATGTCCAGTAAAAAAATTTAAAATCAAATTTCGTCATTAATTTCGGTCAAAATGTATTCTGCTCCGTGTCTTTGCTAAAGAAAAATCCCAATACGTGTAAATTAATTGGTTTATGTGAAAGTTATAGCATTTACAAATGGTGGTATATATACTGGAATTTTTTTTTCTACTAAAAAATGGTGGCGATCAGTGACTTATAGAGGCGATCAGTGACTTATGGCGATGATCAGTGACATATGGTGGTGGTGGCGATCAGCGACTTATGGTGGCGATCAGCGACATATGGTGGCAATCAGTGACTTATGCAAGAATAACTGAAGGGTTATGGTGTCAGTCCTGCTGCAGCAGGTTCTATACATTGTACAGATCTGCAACTTTTGCAGGTAGTTTAAGGGGACCCCCAGGCATGATATTGAAAGGAATATTTTTTTTTTTTTTACATTAAGCAATGAGAAATGACTGCCCCTTTACTCTTTGAAAATATGTTTTTCCCTGATTCATGTCCCTCAGGGCAGTCCCTGAGTCCCCATACCACTTTTATGGCCAATACCGTACATATAAACCTTCAAATTGGGCACTTGTGAATTTGCATGTTCGAGTCCCATAGACTTAAAGTAGGTTCGATGTTCACGAACTTGGTCTGTTTGAATGTTTTTACCGTGAACCGAACCGGGAGGTGTTCAGCCCATAACTACCAGCGTGCACCAGAATGTGTGATTGCACAATTCCATACACAAGAATGCGCACCAGAATGAGCATGCACATTAGTATTAGCGGGTGCCCAATTTCTGCACATTCTGGGCACTGCCTGTGCACAGACGTTCATCCAGAGGAACCAGCTCATCTATAGGCATGCCCTCCCTGATGGTTTGGTTTAATATTGTTGGGTTAATCCCCTTAAATCCAGTTCCACAGCGTGCAAGTACTACCAGCTCCTGTCTTCTTGGAAGATCTCCCGGGACAAGGATAAAGGATTGAGCCCAGCGCTGTAATCAGGACGCTTGCTACGTGTGGCAGTCTTTCCCCTTGTAGATCCCACAGAATGCTGCTGTACTCACACTGTCCTCTTTGCTGTCTGCTGCTTCAGGTCTCAATCCCATTTACTCCTTACTGTTGGATGTGTCTTCCTGAGCCAGCCTGAGCCCGGCCTGGAGGATGCCCCCGCCAGACCTAGGGGTCTCCTCCCAGGTACCGACAGTCTCCTCAGAACTCCATCTTCCACCCGACCCCTCTGTCAGCCTGACTCTCCCATATTGATAGTCCAGTCCACCACTCTACCAGGGCCTCAAAAGCTGGGATTGGCCGTACTCTCCATGAATATGTAGGTTAGGCCCCTACCCCATCCTGCCCACCGATTTCTGGAAGGTTCTATGGTCCTCCAGGGTCAGGAGGAGGTGATAGAGCCACAACCTGTGTTGTCATCCAGCTGACCTGCAATAACCCGACAACTACTATGAGTCGGGAAACATTCCTTGACAAGTCCTTTATTGAAACACCAAAAAACCCCATCCCCCGAAGTAGATCTAACATCAGTCACGATGCCCACCACCACTACCATAGTCCTGAGCTCAGATCCACTGTGTAGATGACTAGTGGCAGGTCGATGAGTACCATCAGCTCAGATATTTCTTTCACACAGACTTGCATCCAAAGACAGTGACCAGTCCATGGGCTTAGCTTTGTTATTTTATTAGGGGAATTCAACTTGGATAGAGAAATAGGGATTATGGGATGCCCAATTATTATTATTATTATTATTACATGGAGTTTATATAGCGCCAAAGGGTTTGCTCAGCCATGTACAATAGAGGGGGGGACAATACATGGCCCAGTACAACAAACAACGTACGAGGGGTAAGAGGGCCCTACTCTTTCGAGCTTACAATCTAGTGGGAGGGGGTAAAGGTACAGTAGGAAGTGGCTGAGGGGAATGAGGGGTGGGAGGAAAGAGGGAGAATGGCTGTTAGGTGAGGGTGGGGTAGGCTTCCCTGAAGAGATGGGTTTTGAGGGAGCGCCTGAATGTGAAGAGGGAAGGCGACAGTCTGATGGATTGGGGCAGTGAGTTCCAGAGGATGGGGGAGGACCTGGAGAAGTCCTGCAGTCGTGCATGGGAGGAGGAGACCAGGGAGCAGGATAGAAGGAGGTCCAGTGAGGAGCAAAGGGTACGGGTAGGGCGGTACTTGGGGATCAGGTTGGTGAGGTAGTCAGAGGCAGTGTTGTGAACGGCTTTGTAGGTCAGGGTTAGGAGTTTAAATTTGATGCGTTGGGCAATCGGGAGCCAGTGGAGGGAGAGGCAGAGGGGGGTGGAGCCAGTGGAGGGATAGGCAGAGGGGGGTGAGCAGGCAGAGGTGGAGGTGGAGTGGGTGGTGAGGTGGATGAGTCTGGCCGCTGAGTTCAGGATGGTCTGGAGCGGGGAGAGCCTGCACTTGGGTAGGCCGGTGAGAAGAGAATTACAGTAGTCAAGGCGTGAGATGATGAGGGAGTGTACTAGAAGTTTGGTGGTGTCTGGGGTGAGGAAGGAGCGGATCTTGGCGATGTTGCGGAGGTGGAGCCTGCATGTGTTTGTAAGTGATTTGACATGCGGTTGGAAGGAGAGGTTCGAGTCAAGAATGACGCCAAGGACTTTGGCTTGCGGGGCGGGAGTGATAGTGGAGTTGTTGGTGATGATGGATAGGATGGGGGGGGGCGCGGGGGAAAGACGAGGAGCTCGGTTTTGGAGAGGTTGAGCTTGAGGAAATGTAGCGACATCCAGTCTGAGATGTCATTTAGGAGGTGAGTGATGCGGGCGGAGATAGTGGGGGTGAGGAGAGGGGTGGAGAGGTAGATTTGGGTGTCGTCAGCGTAGAGTTGATAGTTGAAGCCGTGGGAGTGTATGAGTTTGCCCAGGGAGGAGGTGTAGATGGAGAAGAGAAGGGGTCCAAGGACAGAGCCTTGGGGGACCCCAACAGAGAGGGGGAGGGAGGGGGAGGTGGCACCATTGTAGGTGACACTGAAGGAGCGTCGGGATAGGTAGGATGAGAACCAGGAGAGAGCGGTATCTCTGATGCCAAGGGAGAGTAGTTTATTAAGGAGGAGGGGGTGGTCAACTGTGTCGAAGGCCGCAGAGAGGTCCAGGAGAAGGAGGACAGAGTAGTCGCCCTGGCTTGAATCAATGGAAGGGGGACACTACTCTCCTATTGGGCAGCACAGTGACTAAGTGGCACTTCTGCCTGGCAGTACTAGGGTCACCGGTTCAAATCCCAACCACGGCACCACCTGCCTGGAATTTGTATGTTCTCCCTGTGCCTGCGTGGTTTTCCTCAGGGTACTCCAGTTTCCTCCCACACGCCAAAGACATGCTGGTAGGTTAATTGGCTCCTTTCTAAATTGTCCCTAGTATGTGTATGTATGAATGTAGGTTTGGGACCTTAGATTGTACACCCCTTGAGGGTTAGGAACCTTAGATTGACGCCCCTTGATGACTGATGTGAATGTACAATATATATGTAAAGTGCTGCATAAATTGATGGCGCTATATAAGTACCTGAAATAAATTAATAAATAATGTACAAAGCAGATCCTGGACTTTTCTTTTCCTGAAAGCCATCAGTCCCTGCAGATCAGGTCTCGATCTCATTCACTCCTTACTATTGAATGTAACCTTCTGAGCCAGCCCAGCCCCATCAGACCTAGGGGACCCTACCCAGGCACCGACAGGCTCCTCAGCACTCCCAACCCCTCTGTCACCCTGACTCTTCCATATTTATAGACCAGTCCACCAAATCTGAAAATGGCCAGACCCCCATGAATATGCAGATTAGCCTCCACCCCTTCCGGTTTACTGACTTCTGGAAGGTTCTATGGTCCTCCAGGGTCAGGAGGAGGTGATAGAGTCACAACCTGTCGAGTAATCCAGCTGACCTGCAATAACCCGACCTCAATCACAGACTCAAACAACTACCATGAGTCCTACACAATGATTTTACCTATGATACACTATTCTAGTAGCACATTAGAGGGCGCTACAAGTAAAGGAGTAAGATCTCAGGAATCTGTATGAAACCCGGCCTGACAGGAAACGAAGGGGTCTAATTATAATTCATAGGATGAATGTGACAATCACTTATTCAGACATTACAAATTCTGGCCATTTTGTTCCTAGAACAGTGATTTCCTATGATAAGCAGCGCCATCTAGTGGCCATAATGAAGTACTTTTCCTGAAATACCTCCATCAGTAAATATAGCACACTATGATATTATGGTCACCAGATGGAGCCAACGATGTGATGAAATAAAATAAGACCACCACTCGTTACAGCTGAGCGAATGCCAATCACCTTCATTCAACAATCAGAAGAAAAAATAAACCTCTAAGTGTTTGTGAAATCTCCCACCACAAAATGTACTCAGCCAATGACAGGTCAGGACTCCATTTTTATTCTTCTCCTGCTATCAATGGCCGACCCGGTCCCACACTTCATCCATGTCTTTGGGGACCTCTGATCTCCTTATGGACTGTTTCTTCCATGATGAAGGTCAACCATGGAGTATATCTGAGGTGTATATCAGGGTGTGCTTCTTCCCCACATGAGAGCTGGGATGTCCAGCAACATTCATCTAGAAGACATTTCCCGCACTCAAGGCACTAATACACCTCCAGGGTTGTGTGGGACCCTGATGTACAGGAAGACAGGACTTCAGTGAGGAACATTTCCCTCACTCAGGACAGGAAAGTGGCTTCTTCCCCGTGTGAGATCTCTGATGTGTGTAAAGATGGGACTTGTCTGAAAAACATTTCCCACACTCAGGACAGGAATACGGCTTCACTCCTGTGTGGGTTCTCTGATGTGTGTTAAGATTGGATTTATCTGAAAAACATTTCCCACACTCAGGACAGGAATACGGCTTCTCCCCCGTGTGAGATCTCTGTGTGTGTAAAGATTGGACTTTTGTGAAAAACATTTCCCGCACACAGGACAGGAATATGGCTTTTCACCCGTGTGAGATCTCTGATGTGTGTAAAGATTGTATTTATCTGAAAAACATTTCCCGCATTCAGAACAGCAAAGTGGCTTCTCTGCCGTGTGAGATCTTTGATGTATGGAAAGACAGGACTTCTGTGAAAAACATTTCCCGCACTCAGGACAAGAATACGGCTTCTCCCCCGTGTGAGATCTCTGATGTGTTACAAGTTTTGATTTTTCTACAAAACATTTCCCACATTCAAGGCAAGAATATGGCTTCTCCCCCGTGTGAGATCTCTGATGTCTGTAAAGGTAGGAAATATGTGAAAAACATTTCCCGCACTCAGGACAGCAATGCAGCTTCTCCCCCACATGAGATATCTGGTGTGTGTAAAGATAGGACTTCTGTGAAAAACATTTCCCGCACTCAGAACAGGAAAGTGGCTTCTCCCCCGTGTGAGATCTCTGATGTCTGACAAGATTCGACTTTTGCTGAAAAACTTTTCCCGCACTCAGGACAGGAATATGGTTTTTCCCCTGTGTGAGACCTTTTATGCCTATTAACAAGGAATTTAGAATGGAAACCCTTCCCACACTCAGCGCAGGAGAAGCTCTTCCCTGTTGGAAGGCCGGCCGGGTCCCGCACAGTCTGAGGTTCCTCAGGATACGAGGAATCCGATGGTCCATCTACACTGGGTGGTGCCGGATGGACATTGGAGGGAGCCGTGTTTTCTCCTGGACTATACTGTGTGATGTCCTCATCTTCTACTTTCCAGTCTGGAGACAAAGTGAGACAATCCTCGGAGGTTTTCCTCATCTCCCGGCCATGGACTAAAAATACAAAGACAAAGAGGATTACTAGACAGGAGCTGATTGGTTCCCCCAAACCAGGACTCCGCCCACATCAGGCAGCTTGGTCTCTGAGGAGCTTACAATTCCACCCTCAAGGGAACTAGGAAATGGCTCCTCTGATCTCCTACCAGGTCATTTCTTTATTCATGGACCTTAGTCAGAGAGTGAGGAAACAACCAGAACTGTCTTTTATAGGAGGGACAGTGATGAGGGGATTATAGGACGAGGGTCCCCACCCCCTCTATCACTCATCGCCATCTTCCCAACACAAGAAGTACTGCACTTCCTTATTTAGTCCATGATTTAGTCATGAAGAACAGCGGGGCTGAGCCCCACCAGAGGTCAGAGAGTGAGGATGGGGGGACAACAACCAAGATGAAGACTGGACTGATCCTGAAGACCACCATCATTGGGGTATTGACTCCTCCCTCATTATCACTTTCTGTTTAAGGGTCCAAAGTTGGAGGATGTTATCACATTATTATCACCATGTAAAAGTCTGTGCTCCAATCACATCATCCGATATAAAATGTCCAGCTGGGAGGAAATGGGTGTAAAAAGCCTATGTAATGTACAACTTATTTATAGGATACAAATCTTAGGAATATACTGTATAGTACCAAAATGATGTATTGTACAACATAAAGTATACAGTGCAGGGTTAAGACTCATAATATTAATATTCCTGTATCAGAAATCCAGGAATACAGGACGGGGAACACAGCTCAGGAAAGTGACCAGGGGATTACAGGCTGATATCACCCAGTCCCCGCCCTACTCTGGACCAATCAGTGAGCAGTATGGGTGGAGGAATGGATTTAGTGTTCATGACCCACCTGTGCTGATCTCTGTAGGAGTGTCCTCCTCTATAAATGTCCCCGTTATTCCATCCTCCTCCATAGACTGCTGATCATCCCTCACATACGCCTCTTCTTCTTCTGCTTTCACCTCAAATTCTATATCGATTGGATCTCCACTCTAAATCAAGGAAAATGAGAGAAAATATCATCTGTAAAACGTAAGGTCACATAAAAAATACCCACACATTGTCTCTATGAGTCCATGTTCTAGATGCTCCATCCCACCAACCTTGTAATAGTGAGGGATGGTGTGACCTTCCTGTGTGGAATCCCGGGAATACAGAGGACGGGGACATCTCTCTGGTGGGTTCCTGGTATTAGGTGGCTCCATCATATCCTTGTGTCCTTCTGAAAACTCCTCCATCACTCCATACTCCTCATCCTCCTCTTTATACTCTTCTTTAACATCAATATATTATCATCCCCGAGGATTCCACTCTGAAAGATATAATAAAAACATTCATTGTAACAAACATGCTGTGTATAAATCACAACTACCAATAATTGTCATCATCTACCTGATGATGGTGAGGGATGGTGTGACCTTCCTGTGTGGAATCCCGGGAATACAGAGGACGGGGACATCTCTCTGGTGGGTTCCCATGACTGGATCCATCTGTAGGAAACACACACACTGACTGAATCCATTGTTTCTATGTGTTTATCAGATGATGGGGGATCTAGGTGGATCCTCCGTACTGCTCTCTCCTTTACAATAAAGTCTCCTCTTACCCGGTGATGTGAGGGGGGCTGATTGTCCATCATGACGTCCTTGTAGAGATCCTTGTGTCCTTCTAAATACTCCCACTCCTCCATGGAGAAATAGACAGTGACACCCTGACACCTTATAGGAACCTGACACACACAATGATACAGTCACCATCCAGACACATCCCTTGTCTGTTACTGGAGAATGTCCCAGAATTCCCGGCACCGCTCACCTCTCCTGTCAGCAGCTCAGTGATCTCTCTGGTGACTTCTAGAATCTTCTTCTTCTTTCTCTCTTCTATCAGGGAGGGAGGTGGAGGCAATGTGATGTCATATGATCTCCAGACTTCACAGGAGGAAAACTCTACATCTGAACACAAAGAGTCACATCAAATGATATTCCCAGAATCCTCCTCACCTCTCCATTCAGGTCTCCATTTTATTAAAGCCCCACTTCAGGCTGAGGTATAATTTCCCCCCACAGGACCCCCACACTACGCAGGGTATAGGCTTGTTGCAGCATTCTGATGTCATTACATACAACGCAGGACCAACAGTCCCACTTTACATGTGAGGATACCAAGGGGCCCCACATCCTAAGAGCATCAGAAAAATGTCAGATGGAGGGACATTGGGAGGAGGAGCTGTGAGGTCAGTGTGATGTCATAGGGCATATAGACTCTGGATGGAGGGACATTTGGATGGGGAGATTTGAGGGGTCCTCTATATGACGCTTCCATGCAAACCAAATCCTTGTTCCTGGGTGTGTCCTACCTCTCCTAAACTGAAGAGTGAACTTTGACCTTTACCATCCAGAAATCTGTCCGGAATCTGTGGAAGTAAGCTGTCATGTGATCAGGTGACGTGCGGAGGAACGGAGTGTAAATAGCAGACAATTGTCTCCAGAGCCCCTAATGGTGGGGATGGATTTGGCGGCGTGCTGGTGCCAAGTTTCCTCCCCCCAGGGTCACTGCAGGTGTGGAGAAAAGCTGTGTAAGAGGATATGGAGGAGAGATGAGGAGGAGATCCAGGAATCAGGAGAAAGGTCAGGGCAAGCAACAGACGAGCGCATCCAAGAGACCAAGCCGGGGTCACTACACAGAAAATCAATCCAAGGAAACAACAGGCAGGACGAGGAATAGCAAGAAGGAGCTGAGAGGACAAATGAGAATATTGCTCAGCCAATGGGAGATGATCTCAGCATGACTTCCATCATGAAGGAGATGAGATGGGGGGGGGGGAGGAAGTCACTGAAGGTGACCATAGATCCATGGAAATTCAGCTGGTTCAGCAGGGATCGCTCACATTTCCATCCATGTGTGGCCACTGCCAGGTAAAAGCCACTCCCCCAGCGGCTGCAGCCAATAGCTTCAGTGCTGATCTGTGTATTGAGAGCAGAGGAGAGTCCCCCCATTGTCAGAATACAAGAGTGCAGCGGGGAGGATTCCCCCATCCACCTCCAATGTGTGGATGGGGGAATCACTTCAGTTTTTTTATGGTCATCCCGCTGGCTGAACGATAAAACTGAACCATGTAGGCCTGCTTTGCTTGGCAGCAAATCCTATTCATATATCATCAACTCCTCTCCCCCTGAAGGGGTTCATCTACGTATTTACCTCCTCTGCTGCCAGATCCAGGAAATGTCTCCTCTATACTTCCTCATTCATAGAACTTCCTGTCTTTACCTGACATCACACTTCCTGTCTGTACCTGACATCACTTCCTCTTTACCTGACATCACTTCCTGTCTTTACCTGACATCACTTCCTGTCTGTCTTCCATAGAGACTTCCTGTCTGGGTAAAGATGAGATCCCCACCTTGTGGAGCTCAGAGGAATTGCAGCCCCGAGAATCCTCTGGTAGTGTGACCCCGGCTGTAGCGGCAAGATGAGTTCCCCATGAAGATGTGTGTCTCTGATGCATCTGCGCATGTCACGGTTGTTTTTAGCAGCAGTAGATGATCGCCGATCACCATCCATAGCACAGAACTGCCACATCTAAGAAATTAATTATTATTAATTATTATGATTTTTATAATTATGAATTAACTAGTTAACAAAAGTAAGAGAATTGCCACGAAGGGTTAATTCAAGAAGGTCGGATGCAGCAGTTTAGTAATCGATTGATCGTGACTGAAACTGTGACATGCGCAGATGTGTCAGGGACATACATCTTCAGGGGGGATCTCATCTTGCCGCTACACCGGACTTGTGCTGGGTGTGTATGGACTGTAGATCCTTATAGAGGGGTCACCTCCACTCCCACCAAGGGGGACAGAAATATATGACTGCTCGGGGGAGGGTTTTGGCCTCTTTGATTCTGCAGTAACATTGATTGCAGATTTAGTCCTGTAGAACGTCTGGTGTATGGATACAAAGCCCCCCAGCCCAGAGTGAAGGGTGGAAATGGCTGGTGACCCCCAGATTTGGGCCATGATATCATCATTATCTCCTTCCCTTCCCATATATTGCGGATGATAGGTCAGGGAGTTGTCATTCAGTGAGTTGTGTTGTCACATTTGGTCATCAGATTTGTTTTTTTGGTGGTCATTAGACTTCATGCTAGACATTGATCTACATCATGGGACTTTTTTTAAAACTGTTTTTACAATCTATTTTTTTGTGATTGAGTAGGATCCCTCCCCTTTCCTGGCCTGGCCGGCATGCTCAGATAAGGGTCTGGTGTGGAATGTTGGCAGGACCTTCAGGGAACATATCTCAGATACTCTCTGTAAGGTGACCATAGACATGGAGGACACCAGCAATGGTTGGGATGTAACATCCCCTGTAAAGGTGGCATTATTATTATTATTATACAGTATTTATATAGCACTAAAAGGTTTGCTCCGCGCTGTACATTATAGTGGGGGACAGTACATGAGACAATACAGTAACAAAACAAAACACGAGGGGTTCAAGGGCCTGCTCTTTCGAGCTTACAATCTAGGATGTGACAGATATTCCTGGAATTCAATGTTCAGTATTACAGATACAGTGTTCTCTTCATTTAGTGGTCAGTAGAAGACAAATGGTCACAAATTTATAAATCTGAATAGTTGGCTCTGGAGTGGAGCCTGAAGATTGGAGAGATGAACACCTAGATGGCAATAATGATCTGACATCCCTGTAGACATAGATACGGATGAATGATCTGTCACCTCGCTGGCCAAATGGGAGTTGAGCACCGACATGGGTCAGGCACCACCCTGTGAGGATGTACCAGAGCTAACTAGGAAAGCCAGTAAGAGCCCATGGGTTATCTGGTACT